AGTCACTCTTCTACACAAAGGGACAAAATTATCGATTGTCAGTAATCTCGACTCATAACACATATTTTCTATATCTTACATGTCAGCAAGTATCGCTGGCCATTGAAGCTTGGTTCAGAATAACGATATCGCAGTACACACCCATACCACTTGTTCCTCATTCTGGTACAATGCCAGAAATATACAACAGGAACATATTGATGCCGGCCATGGCCAATAGGCAAATGAGAACAACGAATATTCATTCACATAGTCCCCTTCGACACATAAGGGAGTTTCCTTCTCCGCTGCATATGCTTATATATTTCTTATTCTGAAATATCTAAATATATATTCACATGAGCCTTGCTATTACTATAGATAAAAACAAGCCCATGAATCCAAGCTCATGGGAATTATTTGGGATAAATTATGGAGTAATGGCTTGGTTGGCATGGATGGATGAACATTGCCCGTCTGGCGAAGCAAGGCATCTGCATCAGCAAAGCTTGGCGCTGGCAATGTTGCTCGACTTCGCCAGAAAGAGGCTGGGTGGCAAAGACATGGAAATGAACTTGATTCCTAAAATAGTGCAGTTTGATGCCAACCGAAGATTGAAAATCCTGCCAGAAACTAACCAGAGGTGTTGTCTTGGTCACCATCAGCCACTTGTAGCCATATTGAATGCAAGGGTGGCTATACAAGTTGCATGGCCTTGGAAACTATTGTAAAAGATTGTTATTTGCTGGCAGAATTTTCCAAAATCTTGTGCAAAGCTTGGGAAACTCACCAAATCTTGTGCAGATGTTGTTTTTAGTAGTTGCACTCAAGCACCTCCCCAAAGATGAGATTTCGTATGGCTGGGGACATTGCCAAAAATCTACAATTTCCAGTTTCTTGGCCAGAACCAACAAACTTCATTGGGACCATTGGGCAATTCATGATGCCAGTGTTACAAAGTTGCCAGCAGTGCCTAGAACCAACAAAAATTCGACAGCTTACCCTAACCTTTCTGCACACCTCTAAGGCACCAACCAGAAATTACAACAATACCACTACATATATATATATATATATATATATATCTGCCTTTCATTTAAGAAGAACACAAAGAGAGACGCATCTAGCATAACAACAAACTTACACACCAAAACTCTCATTTTCTCCTCCAAAGAACAATAGATCTCATTTTCAACCCATTGCTGCAAGTAGGAATCATCCGTAAACCACCATTTTTCTCTGCTTTCCAATGCCTCCAGTTCTGCAGAGTATTTTCCAGCTCTACAAAGTATTTTCCAACACTGCAAAACATTCTCTCGCACTGCAGAATATTTTCCAATATTGTAGAATATCACCTAGCACTACAAAATATTTCCAGATTTGTAGGATATTATGGCTAGGGAACAACATGCTGTAGTTTTAGCTTTTGGATAGTTCTTCTTGAGCATCAGATGATCAAGGTCGCAAGATTCGCATCAAAACGGGATCAAGCGTTCCTTTCATAAGCTCACAAGCGATCACCCTTCCTTCTCTCATCACCAGTCTCAAGTTTATCCCTTTTGTCTTTGGAAGAATCTCAAGAGTGACATTGTTGCACTTTTCATTTTCAATATAAGAATTGTTCATTATAGAGTAAAAGTCTCCACTAGGGATGAAAGAGGTCACATTTAATGTCATTATTATCATGTTACAATAAATTATGTATGGGTGTGATTCTCAAGTTTTAATTTTTGAACCATATATATTTCACATCTTTGTTGCCCTTCCTTAACAACGCACAACTTCTCCCCATCATGTTTTTGGTAGTTGTGTGATCACCTTGAACCGTTAGAATCCCATCATTGCTGCCCAGCACTACCGGCTTGGCTGAAAAGTTCATCTTTTAAAAGCTTTTGCTGGAAAGTACAATGCGAGATATCATCACCTAACAAAACAGGATGGCCCGTAACATGTAGCCTTCTACACATGAGACGGGTGTCGCCAAAAGAACCCCTCTCATTCTCTCAGGTGTCATCCTAGTCAACCTCCACATTGTCACCATTGCTGACTCGTTCACCTACATCACCAACACCCCCAAATAGGAAATAATCACCAAATTACTAAGTTATTTAGGTCGTTGACTCCAATTTATTATCTTATTATCATGCCATCCACGGTAGGACCATGGCCTTATATGCGGGATATCAAGCCCATTGAACCAGTTCACGCTCTTTATCTTAGACATAGTGTAGGGCAACGGTCCACTCTAAACCCCAGCCTAAATCCACCGGTATTCCAATTTCAGGGTGTCTTCCTTCATAGGTTGGCATCGGAAATAAGTTGGCAAGCCCATAATATGGTCGAAACCAACCCAATTTTGCCTCATTTACTCAAAATTAATAAGTTAAATGGTAAAAGTCCATACATTGTAGGTTGGGAGGTAAAAACCTTTAAGGTTGATAACGTGAATGAAAAAATATAGATTTTTGTCTTTCAAATTAACATTGACAACGTGTAAAATGGATATCCATCCGGCACTGACATGGGGCTTACGTGGTGTTGATGTGGCATGGGTAATGGAGGACTAACGATCACATGCTATATATGACCATGCAAGATACAACGTTAAATATTACCTTATTGTCTTAATAAAAAAGTTAAGAGGGTAAAACTCAAAAATTGTAAAATTAGGGATAAAATCCCTCATATCCAAAAAGTTGAAGGGCAGAGTGACAGATTTTTATCTTAAATAATAAGTTATTTATCTTAAGTAATAATTTTAAAAAATAATTTATCCTTTTAATAGCGGACTTTAGGCCCTCTTTATTATCATGGCATCCATGGTCTTATATGCGGGAAATCAAGCCCACTGACCAGTTCAGGGCCTTCAGGCTCTTTCTGTTAGACATAACGTAGGGCCTTAGGCCTATTTGTTAACAGGCCGATGCTGATCCCCACAACAAATCAATCTTTTTTCCATTTTCTTTTCGGCGCAATATTTTCTCCTTTTTAAGTTCTCCACTTTTGCTGCTATTTTCTGGTTCGCAGCTGAAATAGGCCTACAACTCTGCAAGGCCCATTATATGAAATAAATCCACCTAACTTAGAAGGTATTTAGCAATTTTTAAAAGTAATTTTTTTTATAAATTTAAAATTTTATTGAAGAAAATTTTTTAAAATAGGTTTTAAGTAAGTTTTCAAAAAATTTAAATTTTTAATTTTTTTTAAATTGCCTCTCCTAGTACACTCACAGCCTTCTCCGTCATTGAGGCTGAGTGTATTTTGGTTAATTTTGAATTACTGGTTGTTTAAAATTAAATGTTTTATTTTTAGTACTTTAGTTAAAATTTTAGTTCACTAAAGTATTTCACTTTAATTAATGGGCTTAACCCCCTATTTAGCCCTTTAACTTATAGATTTTAAAATTATTAATTCTTCACCTAAAAGCTTAAAAGTATTAATTCCTAAACAATGCAATTTGGGGGAATTCCCCTTTATTTAATGGATTTGAAGTGCACAAATTGCAAAAAATTCTCCCTAAGTGTAATTTGGGTTCATCTGTATCACACTTAATAAAAAAAGAAAAAGAAAAAGAAAAAGTCAAAGTAAGATAGATATGCTGATGCGTTACTAATTAGGATAATCCTAATTAAAAGTCTGATGTATACTTCAAATCCATTAGGGGGAATTTTCCTAAATCACATTGTTGAAGGATTAATATCCTTAAGTTTTTAGATGAAGGATCAATAACTTTAAAATTTATAAGTTAAAGGGCAGTTAAATGGGGGGTTAAGCCTAATTAAGGATTAAAGATTAAAATATTTTAATTTGCTAAATGAACCATGTTAACTAAAAAAAATCAAAATTTTAGTAATCAAATTGAAAATTTTTCATTAATATTTGATTTAGTTATTAAAATATAAATTATTAACCCAAAATTTTAACCATTAATGTTTAATCAAAACTTCTTTTTTTTTTTTCTTTAATGGGGCACCAACTTTGTTA